TCAGTAGAAAAGTTCTGAGGTAACGTGGGGGTGATGGGGTTTCTCGTTCAGTAGAAAAGTTCTGAGGTAACGTGGGGGTGATGAGGTTTCACATTCAGTAGAAAAATTCTGAGGTAACATGGGGGTGATGGGGTTTCTTGTTCAGTAGAAACGATCTGAAGTAACGTGGGGGCAATGGGTTTCATGTTCAGTAGAAACATTCTAAAGTAACGTGGGGGTGATGGGGTTTCTCGTTCAGTAGAAAAGTTCTGAGATAACGTGGGGGTGATGGGGTTTCTAGTTCAGTAGAAACGGTCTGAGGTAACGTGGGGGTGATGGGGTTTCGCGTTCAGTAGAAAAGTTCTGGGGTAATCTCGGGGTGAGGGGGTTTCTCATTCAGTTGACAATTCAACCATAAGAGCATGGGACTGAACAAGACTCAGAGCAAGATTTGAGTTTGAAGCGCACACTGAAGGTTGCTCATACATTGCTAGCTACACTTTTCATGTATGAACATAAGAATAGTTGCCCAGTTGTTTCTTGGAAGAAACCAGAGAACTGGCTTCAGCAGCATGTCCAGGTAGTGTGTTCCACTACCCGGAAAAGCAAGTGCCTCCTGGTCTTGGTTTCCAATGCCCTTCCATGTAGTTTCCACTGAGACGGGTATCTGCTCTCAGCTTCCACAAACCACAAACCTGTTCAGCCAACCCTTTGGCTGAAATTTTGTCTCCATGCTAAAATAAAACCGATTCGCCTGCTGGAGTGAAGCTGAGGAGCCCTTAAGGCTCTGTGTGATACTGTCCCGGAGACAGAACTTGCAAAGAAATGCTGTGGGGGAGGGGTTCATAAACATGCATTAAAAAATGACTGTAGCTGTATTTTAGTTTCAACTGCAACTTTCCAGTTAGGAAATGTAAGCTGTGTTATTCTGTTCTCCAGCAAGCAGGCTTGTAGAGAAATCTCTCTCCCTGGTGCAGCTCCTACAGAGCAGTGCATCCTGGGAGGAGGAGGTGTGGTGTGTGGCGATTAACGCTGGCGCTGTGGTTTTCTTTCAGAAATGGGAGCAGATTGAAAACAACTCCAAGCTGAGGCACGTGGGCAGTAACCTGTGTCTGGACAGCCGCAGTGCCCGGAGTGGGGGGCTGACCGTGGAGGTGTGCAGTCCATCCCTCACACAGCAGTGGAAGTTCACGTTGAACCTGCAGCAGTAAAGAGGCCGCGGAGCAAGAAAATCCTCTCAAATCCAGCACATACTAAAGAGAGAGACGCAAGGAAATTGAGCTGAAAGAAGAATAATAAGGACAGAGAGAAAGAGATGATCTCCATCTCACTATATACCTCAGTGTTTCATCCTGGCCCAGCGTTGGAACTAAACCCTTTTTTGACGCCAGTGGAATTGGAAGGGTTTTCCCTGCATTTCGCTGAATATCTCTGCATTCCCAGTGGATATTAATTTTGATTTCATTTTTAATTCCTCATCCTGTAGAATGTAAAGACGTTATAGAGTCCCTTACCTTATCAGGCTGTGCCTCTTTGGAAAAGTGGCGAAGCGGTCGGTCAAGACTACGTTTTTGAACTGCTGAGGGGAAGCAGATCCTGACTCCCAGCACCTCCTTTCGGCAGAAGAAACTGGTGCCCGAGTCGGGTGTTTTTTTTTTTCCAAACTGCTGGAGAAATACCTGTTCTATTTTCTATGATGTAATATCCGAAATATTTCTATTTCTATTTGAGAGTCTGAATCGTACTGTAGGAATCAAGGTTTTCGATACGGAAAAAAACGATACGCTGAAGAGGCCTCCAACACAAACTGGGAGCAGAGTTATTGAAACAGGTGATTTGTTGCTGCTGGACCTGTGTGGACTGTAGCACTGGATGCTACTGTTCTTCAGTATTTAACTTACCCCCTTTGCCCTGTGTGGTAATCTGGAAAAAAACAATAGATAGGCGCTCTTTTATTTTTGTAAACCTCAAAAGAGCGAAGAAAGGTCTGTCATGCTCTGTGTGTTTTCTTTCAGCGACATTGAAGAAACAGTAATAACGCTAAGAAGAACGATCAAAGCCAACCAAATTGAGTTTCACCTTCTGTAAAATATTCTAGCTGTATTTCTGGTTTTGGTGTATGTAAAGAGCCCCACCTTCTCGGTCAGTTCCTTGTTTCCCTCTAAGATGCACCTTTAGTTTGTCACCTGCGCCCAAGGTTGTGGGCTGAGCTTTGTAGGGCAGGAAGGAGGCTGGGTCAGCACGTAGAAAAAAGGAGATGTGACACAGGCGTGCGTTCAGCTGGGCTGGTCTCTGTTTCAGTTGGTTTTCCAGCAACGGGCAGGTTTGAGAAACTCAAATTCGGCCATGTTTGTCTTTCAAAGTTAAATCCTTGCACCACATCAGTTCTCTTCAGAGTTGAACTTACCTGGTCATGGTCCGGGGAAGCTGGCAGGAAAAGGCTGTAAGGAAACTGTACCAAGCAGTCAAGGGATGGTTATTTCACTGCACGTTCTTTTGTGTTATGATTGACCATTTTAAGTCCCAGTTATTATGATTTTTATTTTTTTCTGATTTCTTAAAAACAGAGGTAATTGCCTTTCGAGATGCCCATCACATGTGAAATGTGCTTCATGTGCGTCAGCAAAGTATTCCAAAGACTATGAAAGGAAGGCAAAGAAGGGGCTACCATCTCTTAAGTCAGTCCTGCACATACAAAGACTGAAAAAAGCAATAAGATACCCTGATGTGGCTCTTATGCCTACAGGCTGCGCACATGTACTTAATAACATCTAAAAGCCGTCAAACCGTTGCAGCAGATTTAGTCTTCTTGACTCCAGAGATTAGCAGGAAATGTGGCCATTTTGCATGTGAGAAACTGTAGCTGCACATTGCACAAAAAGGGGTGCCTGTAGGTCTGGAGTTGATTGAGAACGGCCTTCTTGTCTGAAGAGTGAACATCTTTAACACCAGCCAGCGTGTCAAAGAGAAATGCACTCGCAGAGCATGGAGGAAAAAGTCATTCATATGTAACCCTTGTCATAACTGTGACAGCACATGGTGCTTCATAGCAGAACGGAGAGCAAGACTCATCAGATGTCCTTTGAGAATCTAGAAGTGGTTGAATCGAGCCTTTTTTGTAAGATAGTTCTAAAACAATTCTTTAGTTCATTTTAAGGAAAGTGGGGATGGGGGCGGGGAAGAATGGAAAAACAACTACTTTAATACTTTTTAATTGGATGAAATGTTTACATAGCACAGTGTGCCAAAGTTATTTACTGTTTCATTTACAATGTCAATGGATTTGTACTTTAATTTAGAAAAAAATGCACCTGGTAGTATAAGATAAAAAAAATATATGAACCCATTGTGAAATGACAGTAAGCCTCCTTACTTCATCTGTTACAAATCCTCTGGTAATTGATAGTCCCAGTCAATTGAAGTCCTACTAATCATCATGTAAAAGTCACTTTTTCTGAGAGTGGGGGTGGGCAGGGGAGTGGGTACAACACAACATCTGTAAATCAAGCCATGTGGTACAGCAACTGGTTTATAAAAATAAAATGATGATAGTTGGTCTACTGTATAGAGCTTGTAATTGTTCAATGTTTTATAGATATGGCGAAAAAACAACTTTGGACGAGAAAAAGATTAACTTAAATAAATCTGTTTATACATAAAGGGAAGTCTTACATTTTCATCTTTCTTCATTTCCTTTTCACTGATGTTCTGTGCACTCAAGGGTTATGTGTAAGTGTTTTCACAAGGGACCTGTAACAGCACTAGTAGCTAGATCTGGAGGGTTAACACTGGGTTAGGCTGGAGGAGAGCATTCTAGAGAGAAAAGGTTTTACATCGTTTACAAGGTTATTAAAGACATCAGCTTGCTGACGGCTGAGGCTGATTCCTGTCTATAAAACAGCTCAGCACACAACGCCTAAGTGCAGAATATTCTGGTAAAGTCTTGCGGCCAGACAACGTGGGTTAAATGGTACTGTCTGGGGGTAAGCCTGAGATATGGCGAGGGAGGTTCTAACAACTGGAACAATTTATCGACTGCTGTTGGGCCAGGAGTAGTAAATATCGCAGGTCTGACTTCCAGTCAAGCCGGATTATTCAATTCAAATCAGTTTATTTTTCTATAACGCCTTTCGCAACAAGGCTGCCCCAAGGCGCTTAAGAGAGCAAGTGACCGTACATGTTGTGAATACAGAATGGAAAAGACCAGAAGACAACGGAGGAGAGGAACCAAAAACTCTTTAGTAAGGAGAAAAGAAAACCTCTAGAGGTCCAAGGTCAGCTGGCTGCCCAACCTCTTTGGGCATGCTAATGTTATACAATTGAAAAAATCAAATGGATTAGTGGGTTGGATTAGGACATGAGTGAAAAGGGAATCCGAATGACCCATAGGTTTCGGACTACACTGAGGTTGGGAAAGTCCCGTCTTTCCCCGGTATTAACTTTCTTACCTCAGTAGGAGGATCTGCTACATGACTGCTTCATTTTTAATTGGGATGAGGATATGGATAGCCATCCATCATTGACACTTTTCCTCAGTTACACCTGTATGTTTGAATCCTTCATCTAATCAAATGAGTCAGTTGAGATTCAACTCCAGATAACCAGAATGTCCTGCAGACTTCCTGATTATACCACAGGTGTGTTCCTGGACACACGAGAGTGAAGGGTCAAGTTTGGAGTATGGAGACCTCCCTATCACACCCCTCTTCTGCTTTAAAGACCCACCCTGGTCAGGAGCTGAAGCTGTGCTGCAGAAGGGAGAGATGAATCCTGCACTGGTCCACACTGGGTCTTTCACACTGGCTTCTGTGACATAAGTTTCTCTCAAGGTCTCAGCTGCACAGACATCTGCCTCATCACTGGGACAGATTATCATCATCCAATACACTTAAAACATCTTGTTTAAGAGACCCTCTTTCATCCCATATAAATAACACTGGATATTAAACTGTGTATTTAATTCTTTCACTGCTGTTAATTAGTTTGTGATTCCTAAGAAATAGTGTACTATGGTACACATGAACCAATCAAGAACTATCCCTGTTAAAATTCACTTAAATAATATTGTTTTGGAAATTCAAAAAATCATTCTTGGAAAAGCAATTTCTGGAACGTTTCAAAAGATCTTGTTGCATTAAATTGCTCTGCCATATTTCTGTCTAATTGAACATCTCATCTCATTCTGGCTCCTTTGTCTCGGCTGCGACACTTGGCTTTTCTCTCTTCGTTTGTGCTGCTTTTGCATCCTGAACTTGCTGGATACTTGCCGTCGCTGTTTTTCTGCTCTCGGCTGTAGGCTTCCTGGATGCGTGTGTGATCTCAAAAGGGATCTGTCATGTCAGCAGCACCGATTGAACAAAACAATGGCTGTAATTACTGGCTCCATTAAGCTCTTTACTTCTTTTTTTTTCCTCCCTTGTTTAAGCAGTGTGTAACTGTCAAGTCTGGGAGGAGTCCTGCTTTCTGTGAAGACATTTATTTTCCCGAGCACATATTCCAGCTTTCTTAGATTTTCACTACGTCTGTCATCAACCTCAGAGCAGAACCTGCTGCAGGTAAGATGCAAGTAGAGTTGTGAGCTGAATGGATCAAGAGGTAGAAGCCCTGTCTTGTGGTTGTTTGCAGGGCACAATAATATAGCAGAAGGTGTCATAAGCTGCTCGATCTCAGGTACAGGTTGTGAAAATGAGGGGAGGGCATTCAAACCATCTAGTCTGTTTAGTAGTTAACAATTGACCCAAGGATTTCATCCAGCTGTTTCGTGAAAGACGTCAGGATATTGGCTTTGTTAACTTGTCTGGGTAGCTTCTCCCAGACCCGGGTAAAAAAAAAAAAAGTGCTTCCTGTTCTTGGTTTTAAATGCACTTCCATGTAGTTTGTGCATGTGGCCTCTGGTTTGTGTTTCCTGTTCATTTGGAAGAAATTTGTAGTGTTGACTGTATCTGGTCCCCCTTGTCTTCTCTGTTGAAAGCTGAAAGGGTTCAGTTCTTATAGCCTGTCAGTATTGGTGACAAAAAAGACCATTTCCATTTATCTCACCAGATATAGTAATGGTATCAAAGTGCCGTTCTGGAAAATACTGCTAGGTGGGGTTACAGCTGGGTGGACGTTCCTCTATGCCCTAGAATCAGCTGTTTTGCATCCTGATGGAGTGTTTCAGAAGTCAAAATGCTTGATTATCTCATCTTTCCTGCTGTCAGACCTAATCTACAGGCCAGCAGTTGTGAAGTGTCTCATATGGCAGTTTGTGCATTGCAGTGTCACAAAGGTTCAGCACTGAAACCGGCCATCTGTCAGCGATCAACTCAATTCAACACCCACAGGAGATCTGTAACTGACAGCTCTGCCTCATCATCATCTGGGGAGTTAGAGGAACTGCCAGCGAAGGATCCTGAGGGTAACGGCAGAAAAAAATGTAGCTAACACACGAAGGAACAGGATGGATTTATCTCTTGAAATAGCATGAGCCAAAAACTCATCTCCCGGCTCCATCAGCTTTGGAGGTCAAAGCTTTTTGAAATCTGCAGTGCTGAAATTTGATTTGGTGATCTTTTAAATGTTTGAAGGAGGGGGGTTGGGGGGGGTATTTTTATTTAGTGAAGCCAGGCAGCAAGCCAGAGATAATGCCGTCACAATAAAACTATATAGCTGATTAAAAAGACGCCCACAGGCCTCAGGTCTTAAGGTTGAGGAAAGTCTGCTGTAGGACAGGATGAAAAGAAGAGGAGAGGTTTTTTTTTTTCAGCATTCCTGAACGTAGGTCAGTGCTACTGTATAACCCATGTACCAGCGCAGAAGGGAGGAAAGAAAATTGCCCATGTCCCTTGGAATGTGTCAGAGCTATGTTTCATTTTCCTCTATGAGCTCTGAGAGCTCGCGCCAGTTAAGGCTTCAGAAACAGCTTTTGGTAATGACACTGCAGACATGCAGGTGTTTGGCAAACTGGTAAAGTCAAGGCTGATGCTAAGCCCACTGTCCTGGTAGCACCTGGTCAGTTCCATCCCATTATGCTCAAACCAGTGATCTTTCAGCTGCATGAAGCTGAGCTGGCTTTCAAACACTGTGTGTGCAAAGTTGCTTTAACTCAACACAATTACAAAGGAATACACTTAACGGCACGCGTGACGGAACTCGGACCCCAACAGCGTTTACAAAATCCATAAACATTTATTAGAAGTGTGCAAATTTGTGTAAAGTCACATAAACAAAACATGGTACATAAAAGAGAATCCAGTGCATGAATTAATCTTCTCATGGTGGCGCGTCTTGCATGAGTTAAAATTAAATCTTGAATGGCTGCACATGTAAAAAACACACTCTGCCTTGAAACATGATCACTCATTTATCCACTTCGACAACTATGACACAGACACACACACATAAGAGCATTTTTTTTTCACAGCACATCACAGTTTCTCTTTGTTTTATATTTCACCGTTTCTTCATAATTGATTTTTGTGTACAAACATTTTTACATCTCACAGACCAGAGTCAATGACAGAAAATTGTAGGTGTGCTTGAAAATGGGGAAAAAAACAACAATTTTTGGCCCAGTGCTTGTAGGAAGATGGCTGATGGAATAGACATTAGAATAAATGCAATATGGTCTAATTTTCATACAATATAAATGCTATTTTAAAACCGCTTTTAAGAATTTGGCCAAATTTACCTTCTCTATCCAAATACCATAACAGGAGGTTCTTTATAAGTGCAACAGTTTTGTTTAAAACAAAAGAGAATTGCACAAGTATTTTGTTGCTACCCAATAAGGAAATTTCAAATCATTAGTAAGTCAACCTAGTTACTCAAGACAATTTCAATTGGAATATTTGTGGAATTGTTTTCAGAAGTTCTGGTCGCAGATCATTTTATTTCCAATTTGACCAAAAGGACATTACTAACTTTCCCAAAAGCTGTGCTTCACCGCCTCAGCAGGGGCAGGCCCTTGTAACCGAAGACCACAATCTTGAGTCTTGGGTTCCTCTGTTAAATACAAGCATCAGATAAAGCAGATGGAAGCTGACAACTCTTACATGAGTCTTCCTGGAGATGAAGACTGTTGAGCTCGCTGGTGTCACTGCAATCAGCCTGAGTCAGAGGCACATGAACACACTAGATGTTAGGTGTCTGAGGTGGAGATGCAAGAATAAACATTTATCACTAAAATATAGACTTTGAGCAGGAGACTGCTACCTCGTGCCTGAAGAGCCACAGTCCTGCAGGCAGTTTACATTTTTGGCGTGAGGAGACTTGAAACTCCTACTAGTGAATTAATCTGAAATGAGTTTCAGAGAAACATTCAGGTGGGAGAAAGTTTTTTCATCATCTGTGCCTTACTAAACATTTTTAGTTTTTACAGATCCCACATTATTGTTGTAGCCCAAGCTCACAGGAGTGGTTACACCAGTTTGCACAGTCTGGTTAATTAGCAAGGGGCTAGCATAAAGAGCCAGTGTACAATCCCGATGCTCAGGAGAATCTGCATTGCTGATATCCCTACATCCCTGAAACAGACCTCAACTCAAAAGAACAAGCAGTGCCAGAAATCAGATTAACCTTTCTTTAAACTCTGAAGTCATTGTTAGCCACTTGGACTCCCTTAAGGTATATGTGAGTTTTTTCAACACAGTAACAAGCTAAAAGAAAAGCTTTACTGTTACTTTGATGGGGGATAAAAGAAATCTGAATATTTTAATTTATTTTAATTTTCAGTTAAGTATTGGATATTAAAAGCCCACTTCTCTATACACTTACTTAAGATATCAAATTTGAATGCCTTGCTGTTGAAACCTGTGAACAGTACCAGTAGGATTAAAGCTTCTTTTGTTCTTATACATTTTGCACAATTGTGAATATAAGCCACACTCCACTCCATCAGTAGGGCGCCTACTGAAATGTGTTTTTCCCTGGTAGTGGATACATTCAATACAGCTTCAGAGCTTGTGCTAGGCAGGTCCTTGAGGTGTTAAATGCAGCTCCTGCCTCTACCCTCTTGGGTCAAGGTTTAAACTGGTAAAAAGTGTGCATGTTTGTAAAACAGGGGAACAGCTTCAGGAGACAATGGTCTTCTACGAACAGTTTAAAGGACATAAAAAATTAAAGTATACAAAAATCAACAAATGACTCTACTGCCGGCTTAAATCATCTCTTCTCTTCCCCAAAGGACAGTGTCCTCGAGCCCACCAATTCTCATGACCCATGTGCCTTTTAAAGTTACTTCTTTATTTCTGTACTTCTCTAGGGATAATATAACAGTAGCTAACCACCCAACGTCTGTAGAAACTATCATTTTAAAACGGATTTCCAACAGAACACGCTGTTCCTAGTAACATCTTTGTGAAGATTCACGTACATCCAAGTGTCAGCTATGGTCAGTTTTAAAAAGTAGTCATATTCACTTTAGAATACCTCTCATTGTGCTTTGAGGTGTCACACTCTACCGCAGCATTAACTATAGGTCTGACAACTCCTGCAACTGCTCTTAAAACCGTGGGCAACTAACATCTAACTGTCAAGTCGCTGTTTTTCCAGTGCTTAACACTTATATAGCGCTTTTCTAGACACTTCACTCAAAGCGCTTTACAGGTAATGGGGACTCCCCTCCACCACCACCAGTGTGCAGCCCCACCTGGATGATGTGACAGCAGCCATAGTGCGCCAGTACACTCCCCACACACCAGCTATCAGTGGGGAAGAGAGCAGTGAATCCAAACAGCCAAACAGTGTTTAACATAAATCACTTAAAATGAGTCTTGGATGATTTTTCCTTAAGCACAGCAGTGTGCAGAAACATTTTAGTGGTTTTCAGCCCAGGCTGTATCTTTTCTTTGCTATTTAATTTCCAATAGTAATGCTTTGAATCACTAGAAAACTGTTATTGCTAATGTTGTTGATGCATCTACTAGTGTGTTGGTTTAATGAAATTGCAAATCAACCATCAAATTCTGCAAGGAGAATGAAGAACAGATGAAGAAAGATTCTTCTCTCATAAAAGTGCAAATTGCTTTTCTACCCGTTGCGTTTTGAGTTTTCCAAAATTAAAATTTTGAGCCTTTCAAGCCTCAAGTCTGAAAAAGGGATCTTTAAAGAAACAGCCCACCAGGTGACATTATGGGAATTCACCGCATCCTCTGTTATCTCTTTAATTAAACCCACTGGAGTTCTGCAGATTTAGGTGGAGCTAATTAACATCAGAGTGCAGCTTGAAACGTATTTCAGATTTCAGTCTTATCAGTTCCCCTACATTGCTTTGGTGTTAATTATCAGGAACTGAGCACTGGCTGTAATTAAAGTGTATAATATACAGAAATGTGAACATTTTTAAAACAAAACAGGCCTGATGAGCTAAGCTTTTTATACCAAAGTCCTATAGCACTTGCTAAACAACAAAAATATTACCTTGACAGGACTGAGGTAATACACTTTGGACCCTACAATTCCCTGAAATATTTTCCTGGAGAAAGCAAGCTAAAACTCTCATTGTGTTTTCCATACAGAATTGTGAATATTATGCAGAGATGAACTATGAAATGGGTCCTGTTCGTAAAACATCGAGGAATGTTCTCCAAACAGTCCCTTTCAAAGATCATCTGCAAACTCAGAAGATAAGGATTCCATCATCTTAAAACTTTCCTCCAACACACAATCTGTCCTTCTTTTTGTAAACCCATAATGAACCTCAGCTATTCTGCCAAAGCTATATTTAAGATTTTTTTATTAATTTTTAGAATTAGATTAAAGTCTTTTCTTGCTGCATTACTTTGATCTAGATTTTTAAAAGCAGGACAGGAGTTTTAAAAAGCTATTTTTTCTTAATTTCTCTCTCTTTCTCACAAAAGGCTTTTTGAATATGCCACAACATTGAAAACAGGCTACACACAAAATGATGTTTTTTATGAACATAGAGAAAAGAGTAGCTTTGTACTGAATGTTACCATGGGATCCAATTCCAAGCGTGTTCTATTTGCAGTCTTTCAGAGCATTTCTACGATGTGACAGTCACACACAGGGACAAGAGTTTCTTTTGCTTTCAAATTCAAATACAATCTCGTGTCTTATCCTAAAGAAATCTATTCATCCTGTCCACACTTCCTATATTTAGATATCCTATATGTAAATCAGTGATATATCTTTGTAATTAAATACATTCTTTGTATTTTCTACACACCGCACAAAACATCACATGCCACCTCGGTAGCCTACAGACACACACACTTACTTTCTACATGTTTCTTATACTCATGAACAGTGACTAAGATGTACCCCGCTCTGCCTTTCAAGAATTCACAGTGATTGTAATAAAAACAGCCCTTCAAAAACAGCTAAAAACCAGCCACAGCAGACACTGCAGAGTTCACTTTCTTCCTTAGGAATTTCAAGGGCTTACACAAAGCAGTCAATGCACTTGCGCCTGTCAATTCATATTGACATTTCTCTCCTTCTTCTTGATATTGTTTATATCTGCAAACAAATCGAGATCCATCCCCACAGCCCTGTACTCTGCACTGTACCATAAGAAGGTCCTTGAGCAATCTTGAACAGCAAATGTTGGAAACGTTACACGATTCAGCTCAAAACTCTCTTGATGATGCCTATAGTCGCAAAGCATATCTTTCCATTTTTGAATGCTGACATTATCTTCTGAAGACCGTGAAGCTATAAATCATCAAAAAAATGTATGGCCTACCGTCTACTTCGCCTACAGTATATTTGTCCACCACTGGTCCTGGATTTGGAGATGCTACTAAAAGACAAACTTTAGAATTAAAAAGTATCGCTGTGAAGAAACAATTCTTCGAAGGAAAAATGCCTTTTTTATATTTGGGAAGAGTTAAATGCTTTTAATCAATAAAGAACAAAGTTTTCTATTTAAAGACCTTCCCTGACATGATATTACTGATGACCAAATGGAATTAAGTACTCCATTATGTTTAAGGCGAAAAAGGGTTAGGTTAATTAAATTTAGTTTTAAATTGTCCCTGAAGTCACAGCACAGCACAGCTGAACAGCATTTACGCAGTGTACAGCCAAAGGGGGAACTTCATACAATCAGACATTTTTTGATTTTGTAGTTTGAGAGCTACACTCAAGCTTGTCAATGCGGACGATTAAAATGCATGAAACATCACACGACACAGCCACTGTGATCTTCAGCCACTGAATGTAACATCACATGCAATCACTTGTTACTGAAGAGTCCAAATACTTTTCTCCGTGGGTAGTATTCGAGTTTAACTTTTACTACAGTTTAAATAAATTGGTCGCCCTTTCATCTCCTCATCTGATCAGCATTCGATCAGTATATCCTGTTTCTTTAACTTGCTTAGCAGATCAAAGTCTTTGACAACTGCGTGATTCCTTCAATGGCGAGATGCTGAGACGGTATTAGACCTCCGACACACAGACTTCCATTTGCTCAGCTCAAGAGGCTCTTGCCCTTCAGAGCGATGGAACCCTTCCAGCATTCATTACTAGATTAATCTGCAGCGCAACAGCCCGCTTTCAGTGGGGTCCCAGAAGCTTTTTTTTTGTATTAGAACAGTGGCCATGAGCCAACAGGCGTTTTTAGTTCTTAGCAAAAAGATCAGCTGCTGCTGCTCCATACCCCTACTGCTCATTTACTTGGGCCTGATAAGATTAGTCACCCAAATCTTTTTTTTTTTTAATCTAGCATCTCCAACTTGTCATTCCAATCAACATGAAAGCAGCGTATAAGAATAATGTAAGTTCTGGGGAAGCTGGAGAACGAGCTTGGGGAAAGCTTTGTTGTTTTGAATGATTTATGCGTTGGGTTTTGCGTAAGACTGCATTAGAGGCCCTGTAAAAGCATTTGCCCACAAGCCCGAGCAGCAGGGGGAGATCGGAGCTGCTCCCTAACCCGTTTTGCTTCCTGCTGCTTGGTGAGGGATGGTGCCACGCTCCTCCCCAGTAGCATCCGGCTATATCAGGTGACTCCTTCATGACACCCACCAATATCCGTGGTGGGGGTGGGGGCACTAAGGTAATGGCAACTAAGGTAAAGACTCATTTATTCTGATTTTTGTTTCCTGGGCCGTGAAAAGAAAAGGCATGAACCCGCAGAAAGCCTTTGAAATGCAGACCGATGATCTAGGAGGGGAAGAAAATAGAAGTCACCCCCTCATGCTATTCTGTGAACGAGCCTGTAAATTTATTGTTTCCAGCAGCAAATGGGACCCATCCCTCCCCCCCTCCCCCTTCCTTCTCTTATTAATTATCTGGATTGATCGGATCATCCCGAGACCTCAGAGGAAAGGAGGAGGGGTGAAGTGACCTGTGACCGGCTCCAACACTGAAAGGTCAGAAAGAAGGTTGACTGACTCTTTTCTTTTACAATCACTTGAGTGCGTTTTACTGTACATACATTTCTGAGAAATGAGCTGTCCGGAATAGGGAAGTGATAGCACGACACTCCAAATGCCCTCGGCCGCTATGAAAATTTTTAGAAAAAGTGCATCCATGAATCGTGTTTCTGCATATATATTTACTGTGAGCTGACCCTTCCGGTCTTGGCTCTTTGATAGGCCTGCCTGCTTTGTTAACACACTAGACATCATTTAATATGGATATAGGTTATGTACACTCATTTACACAGACGGACGCAGGCGTGAGCCACTTCCCCCTACATATTCCATGAAAGTTCCTCAAAGAATCTTTTTGTTTCTCAACTCGAATTTAAACACATAACCAAAGTGTGGATTCAACAACAACAACAACAAAAAAAAGTGGAACAATGTGATTTCATGTCAGTTCTCCATGCAACCTGCTCGCTCACTGAGGCTCAATCAGGTCATGAGGCCTAACTGTGGTGAAGTTGGATGGGCGCTGAACATCAAGGACAGTCTGCGTCTCGTTTTCCTGAACACGTTTCAGAGAACGCCCCTCCGTGTTTGGAATCGGGAAGAGCTGCCTTCCTCTCTCCCATCTTCCCGATTTCCATCACTGACTGCCTTCTCTTTGCCCGTGCTGTCGGCCCCCTCTCAGTGGGTGCAGGTATGTGTGTGGGTGTGGGTGTGTGAGAGACCAAGCTTACCTGGGGGGGTGTGAGTATGTGTGTGTGTGAGTAATGGTCTGGGGGCTGGGACGCAGGTCTTCACTGTGTGGGAGAACAGTCCTCTAACCCCAAGAGCTCTCGTACCAGTCTCTCCCCAAACTGGGCCCTACTGTAGCGCTTCACGTGGTAGGCGTCTGACATCTTGTACAGTATATAGGCGTTGTTGATGGCAATGCTTATCGTCAGCCAGAACACCTGCTGCCAGGTCTTGTTGGGCTTGTGGAAGATAAAATATCTGTAAGAAAGCAATTTCAACAGAAAGAAACAGGATCTTTTACCGAAACAATCCTGCAGTACGCCAATCTAGAACACCGGCAAAAGATTTGTCCTCTGGAGATGTTGATTAGTATCTGGGCAAAGGTGACATTATTCTCCAGGTTCTCCAAATCTTTTGACGTTTCTGCATCTCGAAGGAGTCACACATTCTTAATGATGGCCTATAAAAGCCCTTAGAAGAAAAATCGGATTGAAACGTTAATTAGGTGTCTTAGTTGCTCTAAACTGGACCATCTTCAGAAACACCCTCAGGTGCAGGAGCACAGACATCTGTCACATCTGCTTTAGGTGTTCACACTGTGTTTAAACATCTCATTTGGGGGCAAAATGGTATTCAGTGTCATGTGCAGGCACATAATTAATGCTTTTGATGTGAGGCTGTGTTAAAAATGTTTCAGCATTTTAACACAAATGCTATTAGTATGTGCAGGGTATCAGTGGGAGTCACTGACAGTGCTGTAGATGGGTTGGTATTTTTTACTGTTCCTCTAGGGTTTCCCTCCAGCAGTCACAGTTGTTCACTTCTGCCGGCAAAATTCATCCATAATAACGGGCATCTCCGACAGTCATTAATGAACAGCTCCTGCCTGGTTAAGACCTTCCTAATTAGGGACCTGTCTAGGAAATCTGGGGCAGGCATTAATAGCTGCTGTGTGCAGCTGTTCTCTAGTTAGGAAAAGGGGACTTTGGTGCCATTTTTTGACACGCAAACCTGAAATCATATAATTACAGAAAGCTTTTTTGGGGGGGTAATAATGGGAAAAAAAACAATTGACTTTTGTTCATTAGCACTTGACTTAATTGCCCCTCTTCTCACAAGATGATCACTTTTCTCATAGGAAGACATTTCTCTGATGGATTATTTTTATTTATTGTACATTTTCTTATTTATTACCTGATTAAAACAAAAATGCTTTATAGAATTTCATTGTGTTTTTGTCAGCACATATTTGCACTCTAAGGCTGCTGCAGATATACAATATATGAGTAAATATTTAGGCACAGGGTTATGTTTTCTAAATTGTTGCAGTATTTTACACACAAACAGACTGATCATGTGGATATCATGAGCTACTGCACGTATAATTCTGCTGTAATCATGGACACTTATTGTAAAGTGTGACTGTAGTCATAAACGTCACTCACTTGCTGTATTTGTCATCATATTTGCAGATGTAGCTGAGATGGGCTGCAAAGGCTTCCACTGCTAAGGGACAGGGGATTTCACCACTTTTCCTCTTAATGATCATTCCTGATCGGGACACAAAGACACACTGAATTAGAACAGTAACAGGTAAAGACGTTGATCAACTATCTAGGAGCAAGACGTGTTTCTCTGTCACAGACTCCCCCAATAACCTGACTGTCACACGAAAATTCCTCAGTTTTAGGAAATTCTTTCATAGATTCATTACATGTAATGAACTGGGAGTCTGGAACAAGGTACCCAGTCATGTTGAAGCTGATAGCCTGGTTTATTTCAAGACATAACTGGCTGAGATCCTTGATCAATTAGCTACCATCTACCACACAGGCTAGAAGATGAGCCAAATGGCTTCTTGTCATTTATGACTTTTGTTCTAACTTGCAAAGGTTTCACACCATCATTCCAGGTTCGGCCAGCTCTCCAACACTTTTAGCACTGCTGCACCTACTGACCAGCACACAGTACATTGTAACAGCAGGGTTCCCTCCTGCAGTGAATCCAATTTTAAAAGTGCAAAAAGGGATGAGAAAAATAAAGAGAGGAAAATTCTACAGTAAAAAGAGAGAAAACATGAACTATTTGTTTTTATCGTAGTTTTGGATCTTTCTTAACTCAGAAATGTGATCTTTATGGGAACATAGATTTTTGGGGAAATAAGGGATCTTTGACCACTGAAGTTTTAGTACATGGAGGGAAGGACCTGGACATTTGGAAGCAGACATGATTGAATCGGCAAATCTGGCTTGAGAGCATTTGGGTAGAAGTTTACTGACAGAAGGAAGCAGATGCAACATGCAATGCCTGAATGTCTCCCGAGCGTTATCAGACTTTGCGTGAAGGTGTGCCACATATCCCAGCCACATATCCCAGTTTCTTTCCCATGGCTAAAGGGGACCTTAAGTAAAGGTCAACACACTTGTTTCCGGAGACACACCTGGGCAAATCCAGATCCCATTCTTCCTCAGAACAATTTTAATTTCAAACTGGCGTTACGCCACTGAGAGTGCCTTCTGGCTGAAGTGGGACTGCCTTTGAACCCTGTGCACTGCGCTCAACCTCATGACACACGAAAATAAAGCAGAGGGGGGAGCGAATCTGAGCAGCGCGAACAGCCCTGACCAGGCGGAAGCAAACGGAATGTCAAAGAGGCTTAGCTCCGCTGCTGCTTAATCTGGACAAGCTGCTTCGCTGAGGCGAGACGAAAATCCGTTGCTGGAGCTAACTAGGTAGAGCTACAAAATCTAAAGACAGAATGTTTTCCTCTGTCGTCCTGCTGAATTGTTGACATTGTGTATGTTTTGATGTGGGATTCTGCCATCTGGAATGTGAAGGGGGTTTAACTTCATTAAGCCCTTCCAGTTCAACAGTAGGTGGGTTTTGGTTTTGAAGCGAGGGACCGCAGTAACAGGAGATAAAACATACTGTATCTACTAGGGGTGTAACCCTGGTGTCCTGGCCAAATTTCCCATTGGAATTACCAATCATGGCCTCCTAATAATCCCCATCTATGAATTGACTTCATTACTCTGCTCTCCTCCCCACTGAGAGCTGGTGTGTGGGGAGCGTACTGGCGCACTATGGCTGCCGTCGCATCATCCAGGTGGGGCTGCACATTGGTGGTGGTGGAGGGGATCCCCATTACCTGTAAAGCGCTTTGAGTGGAGTGTCCAGAAAAGCGCTATATAAGTGTAAGCAATTATTAATTATTATTATTATAATTACAGAGATGGGGTTTGGGACTACTGGAGCCCATCTATATCTTGGCTGATGTCCCATGTGTTCCACAGGGGTCGGGCTGCACCTCCTGCCCCTTGGAGCAGCTGAGGAAGCCCGAGAGCTTTGCCATTGGACTGGCACAGGTCAGATATAGTGTCTGCTTCCTGTGACACTGCTGGGGTGCGAATGTATGAAGCAGATTTAGGAACAAGGGCTTGAAATACCAAATTTGCCCGAAAAAAACAACATTGACCCTGGGATTCTAGCTGCTCACGAACAACACCCTAATGGCTTGGCGCTTCACAGAACCTGCTGCTTATTTGGAAACGGCCCTGCGGACATATCCCTCCTCAGTTATCACCACCGAACAGGGAAAGTCACCTTGTTTGCTGGGCGAGTAGGCGTTGGTGAGGAAACGGAAATGACCCTTGTTGTACCAGCAGATGAGGGACATGTTGCCTTTCATTTTGGTCCTGTACTGCCCTCGGCGCTGGGGCACCTCAGGGTTCACCAGCATGGACTGGGGGAGCCCAGTGCAGTCGCTCTTCCTGGAGCTCAGGAGGCCGCAGCAGTAGATGTCTGGGGAGAGAAGTAGCTCATCATCTCTTGTTTTCATCTCACTTCCATTCTTGGAAGAGCCAGCAGACAACACCTTAGCAATCATGCCCAGTAAAACAGAAGTCTCACACTTTCTCGTTCTGTTAACAAAACATGTTCAGGCCAATGTACACTCCATTGAAGAAGAGAAGGGTGTTAGTCCACCTCATCATGTGTTGGTACCTATAGCAGACAACATAACTCACTGCCCCCCACAAAAATTATATCTAGCAAAAATTCCAGATGCAGTATTGAATGGTGCAGATTCAAATCTTAAAAACTGCCAGAGTGACCGATATAAACTCTCACTTCCACAAACAGAGCTGATCAACCTTGATCAATTCATTTTTGAAGCGCACTGTTTGACAGTGGGCTTCAATACCAAACACATCCTTTCAAGCCTCTCAAGAAGTCTTTTTTCTCTTCAGTACTGTGTCACAGTTTACAAATGTAAGTAGAAGTGGTTAAATCAATATACCTCAAATGGGAGGCTCACAAATTCTGTAGAAGGAATAAACAAAATCACAATTACAATTACAGTATAAAAAAATAAGGAAATCAGGTTCTGTGAACATCCACCTCAGTCTAAGCAGCTCTCTACCTAAAGACAAAGTTGGGTTTGTTGGAGAAAACAGCTGGAGATTCTAAAGGTTTTTTTAAAAATTCTTTGATATAAAATGGTTTCAGCCATCTATTGAATTCTGAAACCATCTCCTCTCCAATCAATAATCTGCCCTTTGGCATTGATACCTAATGTGTGCAAGATCCCCCACTGAGCCAGAAGAGAGACTTCAAACCTGCTATCTTGGAAAAGGGAATCTGGATCCAATATTAGCCTGAAGAAAGAGAGGTGGCTCGGCACACAGCACAAGCAGGCACTGACTCCCACTCATTACCTGATGAGCTGTGGGTCCGAGGAGAAGCAGATGCTGCAGTGACTGATGACAGCCAGGGAGGAAAGCATTAGATGATACATCACACCTCCACTCGTATGCTTAGTTTTGGAACAAATGGGGTTTCTTTTTTTTTAATGGATAGAAAGCATGGCTTTTCACCAATTAACAAAGCCCTCAGTGCAAAGCTGAAACATCTTGCACACGTCTCGTGGGCTCACAACTCATTTGCATCCTGTCTCATGTTGCCTGCTACTCTACCATCAGTTCCCTTCACTTTCCTCGCTTTCTCTGGAAGCCATGTGGAGACATTCACTGAACCCGTCCCACGTTTTTGTCACACCCCACACTCTCCCTCACAAACGACGTTGCATTCCCAGAACCACTGCTTCACAATCTCATCCCTGATTGAACCCATCACATTCTCACATGCACCAGATCTCTCAAATTCTCACTCCCTAACCAATCATCCAATCACACCCCTTTCCTTTCAGTATTTAAACTCCCCTGACACACCTTCCCACGCTCACTATTGAGAAGCCTCTTGTAATATTCTCCAGTGTGTGTTTGTAAGCCTTTTGACTGATCTCCTGTTACGAATCTTCTGCTTCCGCCTCTTGACCTTGCCTTCTGGATTTTGACTTTTGGATTGTTTTTTGGATATCTCTCGTTACCGGACCCTTGGCCTCCCTTATCGACCCAGCCTTTGGATTTCGTCTTTCAGATCGTCCCTTTGCTACTCTGCGTTCTGTGGGATTCCGGTCACGCATAATGCTCCTCCAATTCTACTTATAGGTTCCCTGGCAGTTTTCCTATGTGAAAAAGCGTGACCTGATTTTCTGGCCATTAAGTAAGCGTGAACAGAACACAGTCGCCAAGAGACAGGTTTAGGACTTGAAAGTGCAGAGTAGGTCAAAGTTTTGCTCCAAGCCAGCTTGTACGTTTTGCAACGTTTACTGGAATTTATCTGGAGACAAGACAAGAGTGGAACCAATTCTGCCTGGACGTAAAACCCTTTTTAAAGGGCGTCCCAACCGGCACGTGCAGAACTACAAGGGGCGACGCATGAGGGCGCAGTGCTCCTGACCTTGTTTCTCAAACTCCTCGAACAGGCAGAGGCTGGTGATGCTGGGCCCGGTGAAGATGATGGAGTTCTTTCCAGCCAGGTTCCTGCACAGCTGTTTGGCCACCAGGCTGTGCAGCTGCGGTTTGTTTTTCAACGTGTCCAGCCCGTCGGGGCCTGAGCTCTCCTTCAGGTGCACATAGATCTGGAAGCAGAGGGGGAGATGAAGAAGGTCTCAAAGGAACGGAAAGCAAGGGAGAGCAGGGTGTACAGCAGCCGAGGAAGGTTGTGACAAGTAAAGACAAGCCAGTACAGGTCACCATCCTCATGGAAGTAGACAGTCCTGATACACTGAATCAGAGGATTCAGGCTGTATTTAGTGAAGATACTCTAGTGATTAATTTACGTGTATACTACAGTCCAGGGGAATAGGGTCATCTGCAAATAGTCAAACTGCCAAGCAGCGATTCTAACAATCAAATCAATGGGGAAAAAAAATGACTTTCCTAGTGGTCAGGAGACACGTTGTACTGCTTATAACCAACCACCAATCCACTACAGCAGTAATATTGTTTGTGTCACCCACACTGCTGGCCCCTACATGCCCACATCTGTCTCTTCACATGACTGCTAGTTATCAAAGTGTTGTTAAATGAGGAACAGCTGAGTGAGATACAAGAAGTGAAAGGAGTGCTGGGAGTTGTATTTTACTTGCCTCACACTTTTGGGGTCTAAAGTGTGTCTGTTTCTTGTTCAATGCTGGAAGGCACCAAGACTTGGAGTAAGATAATGCATTTTATCGCATCAGAGAGAACAAAACAAGAATCTGAGAAAAGAACAAAATCTTGGCACAAACCAGTGCCAGGGCTTGCATTAGAAAAGAACCGATAAAAAATACATGCACAGCAGACCGTGCACTTATTGTTTCCTATTTTAAAACAGCACCAGCATCCTCATACAATGACACAGTCCTTCATTAAGTGTCTAGCTTTCCTTACAGGTGCTCAACTTTTTTCTGCGCCACTCGGACAGAGCCTTTTCATGGACAGTGCCCCTTAGTAGTTGAAGGCATGCCCTTGCCTAACACCAGTCCCGAGCACTACCTAGACAGCATTTTCATGCTGAAAATGAAAGGTCTTGTAAATGGAATAAGCAATTGCACTTCACCAGAGGTACTGTATAAATGCATTTACTGGACAGACAGTTTGTTTGGTGCGCTAGAAAAATGTTTCAGATGTGGAGCCTTATCTGGGTGGGGAAACAGCCATTGATTTTTCTTTCTGGTTTTTTTTTTTCAATATCAAATTAATCTATTCTCATTTACACGCAGCTCTCCATTCTAACCTTTTTTAAAGAAAAGTGACGTGATATTATTCATTGGGAGCCAAAATGAAAAAATCTTCCCCACACCAGTTTTGTTTGAAAAAGTCAAATCACCAGCTCCACAGGTTACTAGAACAAAATATATTCTTTTTTATCATTAATCTTTTAAAGGAATTTGTTTGTTCAATATTTTGTATAGCCCTTGAATGACTCCCTGCAGTTTGCATACTAGCGTAACAGGTCCACTGACAACACTGTTTCCCTGGCTCTTCCCACTGCCTTGGCTCACTTGGATGATAAAGACACATATTGAGAAATGCTCTTCATTGATAACAGTTCCACCTTTAACACTATAGTTCCACCCAGACTAATCAGCAAGCTTAATGATCTGATCTGGGTATGAACATCTTTCTATGCAGCTGGATTCTGGATTTCCTGACTGGCAGACTGCAGACTGTGAGGGTCGATGGAAAGCTTTCTTCCACACTGACTGTCAATATACAGTGGATGCCCCTCTAGGCTGTGTGCTTAGCCCCCTGCTGTTTGCCTTGTTCACCAAAGACTGTGTGCCCAGACACAGCTCCAACTCCATCTATAGGTACACAGCCGAGACTGCCAGTAAGAAGGTCAGGAACCTGGTGGATTGGTGTCCTGGCATTAATCTCAATGTCAGCAGAACCAAAGAGCTGGCTGTTTATTTCAGAAAGCAGAGTGGGCATCACACCCCTCTTCACATCAATGAGGTGGCTGTAGAGATAGTTAGCAGATTCAAGTTCCTGGGAACCTTCAATACTAACAATTTAACATGGTACCAGCACATGTAACTGCAGCTACAAAGGAGGCGAAACAGTATTCTTACTGCATTCTAGACGTGCGCAATGGAAGTGTATTACTGTGTAGTTTGGCATCAGCTCGATGTCTGACCGAAAGGAGTTATAGGTTGTGATCAGGTCGGTCCAGTCCATTATGGGAGTACAGCTCCCCTCTATTGTGGACATTTTCACAACTCACTCTCTCGGGAATGCTAGGAGTATTGCTAAGGATAACAATCATTCTGGTTTCTCACATTTCTCTCCCCTGCCCTCTGGTAAGTGTTACAGGAGCATAAGGGCACAATCCTGCGGACTGAGAGACAGGGTCTTCCTGAAAGATGTCAGATTATTGAACTCTACCTCTACCACTGACTCACACTGATATTTTTTGCACACTGCATGTGTTTTATTCAAGTTCAGTGTTGTTGCATTTCCTTGTTGCTGCTTTTGTTCTGTGTTTAAGTTGTTGTTTCCTTCATGTCTTTGTGTTTCCTTAATGTCATCGCATTGGAGTGTACAAACAAATAAGCATTTCACTGCCCTTGTGCATATGACAAATAAACTGAACTCCGATATATTGTACATCTTTGGAAGAGTGGCCCTTCATTAGAAGATGCACCTTACTGTACTTTCATCTCCGTAGTGCAGTAAAGACCACTGCACTACAGTGTACAAGGCAAAAGAGGCAAGGCCTCAGGCTGGAAAAAGAAACTGGTTAAAACGTGTTCATATTGTGAATCCCAGAACTGATATAGTCCTCCTAAGCAGAAGGTAACGCACAGAACAAAAATAGGATTTTTTTTACAGATGGTATTACTAGCTCAAACTGGCTCTGATGCGGCAAATGAAAGCATTGAGATGCATGAGATAATAGATATCTATAAAAAGAACAGAGTTTGTTCTGTGCCAGCATTGCCATTACATTAATGATAATGTCATTTAGCCTCTAATCTGTTTTGAACATTGACATATTTTTCTTCATGTCATAGCGGAATTAAGCAACTGTGCTTTTTTGCCATTACTTACAATTTGCTGGATTTGAACTCAAATTGTATAATGTCATTAGCTGGGCAGTGTATTTTTCTACCTCAAACGCCATAAATAAAAATATTTAATTGTTTGTTTCCAAACTAAGATACAGATAACCTGGTGACCAGGCCAGCCTAGACACTGTGCTGGCAACATCTCTTAAACCAGATCGATTATCACTGTCTTGGCAGGGTGCAGTGGGAGAGACAAGCACCGGTAAGATCTCAACACCCCAGTGTGAGGTTAGCAGGTTAGCAGGGACCAAAAATAACACAAAAAGAGTGAAAAAACAAACAAAAAGGCAAAAGAAAGAGTACCGCTGTGCCTCGTGACCTCCAGGCTGGGCTTACCCTATTTAAAGGGGTCTATCCTGGGTAAAAAGAGCCGCTGGCACAGAGGTGACGAGATAGGACTGAACCTATTTAGCGGGGTCCAGTCCGGTGAGCAGGATGCATAATGCATAAAAAACCAGGAACTTTGTGCGTGAAAAAGTATGTGTGTGCCTGCCCCGGTGAAAGTGCATGATGGGACAGGCGGGACGAGAAGAAAACCTTGCATGGGTGCAATCCCTTCCGGGACTGTCAGTGTCAAACTCCCCCCTTCCGGGGGTGTCCTTCCTCGTCCCATTGGGGGGTGTCCAGTGTGCCTTTATAGGACCCGCCCAGCCGGGGCTCATCTAGAGGCCGGGACAGCTGGGACTACAAAGGCGAGGCTCCGCCCTTCTACCAGGGCTCCGCCTCCACACTGGGCACGCCCCCCTGTCGTGCCACACTGTGCACTACTGCTGCTATTCACAAGACAAAGACATCCTGCCTGAAGACATGCTTGTTAAACTGATCAGGAGACACTAAACACAAACTGAATTAATACAGAACAAGGAACTGTCATCAGAGATTTGTCCTTTGTGAAGGATCCTTGTCTACATTACAGATGGGAAGGCAGAATAATAGACATCATTCTCTCCATACTGAACGTGCCAAATGAGACTGGGCTAAATACCCTCCTCTTAGTTGTAACCTTTCTTATGTTCTAAAAGGGGAACTGCAACGCTATTTTTATATTTTGGGGTTAGAAAGAATCAGCATTGATGAGTGCATTTCAAGCAGGCTTGTGAATACAGCTCTTTTAGTCCAATAGAAACATTTCTCTTGACTTTGATATGTTTTTGCTGATAAACAGAACTCACTTCCATTTGTTAACTCTGCAGATCACATTGGGGACTTTCTGTGGTGAAACATCTGCTGCACAGCCTGTACTTATTTGCTCGTACATTGCATGAGTCATTACAGCGACTAGTGAGCCGGAAGGGCCGCTTCACGTCTCAAATCGTGGGAACTCACCCGTGACAAGACCAGGGGTTTGCGACAACGTGGCGACTTTCACAAAGTTCAAGATTTTGAGCTTCATTCGGAATCCGTCAAAGTTTTCTATACCGTCAATGAGTTTATTTTGTTTACCGCGAATTCAATAACCGGTCTGAGAAATTGGGACTGCAGTCCCCCTTTAACAATTAACCACACATTGCACGTGAAGAGCTTGTTCTGAGTTTAATTAAGAAAACAATTTGGGGGCCGGACATCTAAAGGTAGATGGCACAGTGGAGCCACTGTGTCCCTCTCACCTCGGGCCCTCCGGCTCCTACAGGCAACAATAGAGAAGTGGCTTCACACAGGGAGAGATGGCTCCTGCTGCAGCTGTGCCGCCAGTGAGCCTTTAGTGCTCCCGCAGACGACTGCACCTGGAAACTCCCTAATGTGCCAATGTGACGGGCTCGGCCCTCCCTAACCCTGCCGGGATTCAATCCCCGTCACTCCCAGGCTCCGAGCATGCACAGAGCCACTCCCTAGACGGTGGCTAACTCCGTAACACAAAGGCACACAAGAACACGGGAGCAGCTGAGCAGCTGATCAGTTGTGGCTCTCAGCGTTTGTGGAAATGTGTACAGTGCCTTTGATGTATTTTATGCCAATGACAGTGGGTGTTTGTTTAGGGTCTGTGTCTGTTACTCTATAGAGCCTTCAGCATCCCAGTGAGTTCCCCTTTAAGGGCAATCTGCTCACAGGCATTGCAACACTCCATGCAGGACAATAAAGTCACACCCATTTTGTGAAACTGGTTTAGTAAATCCATTATACACCCTATAAACACAAGACACAATAACACAATGATTTTTCTCAGCTACACTTGGTATTGTTCCATCAAACTCTCATTAATTACCAGTTTGCAATACGCTGTGGGAGGGCTATGTGTTGAACCACTGTACTGCACTTTACTAGGAGTAATAGTCATTTCAGCGTTTCAGTCACTGGGAAGAGAAAAGTGCAATTATGTTAAGTGCCTGGGTGGTTTCTCTTCCTAGATGTGGCTGCCAGTCAGACAGAGGTGCAATTCTGCTGTACATAAATGAAAATGATTGCAGGCCCTAGTTAACTGAACTGCTTTGAATTTGAGCACTCATTTGAATTTAAGCTCAGATAATAAACTCCCTATGTTCTTGACCCTTGTTTCTTCTAGTAGCCTTTTACATCAAATTAAAACCCAATACACTGCACTAGAAACAGGAGGTTGTGTGAGCAGTCTCATTAAGCTTCTGGTACTAAAAAGAGCTTTGTTGCTGCATTTTGAATTGTTGCTGTTTTATTGGCATAGATATCTTTATGGCTGGAATACATCAACAGTTTGGGCATTGCATTGCAACTTTTCCTGTAGTGTGGACAAGCTGTTTCTTTACTGCAGTTCCAGGAACACTGTCCAAAACCTCACACACACAGCTTTATACTACCTGGTGTTCCACAGCTATGTCAGCACTCAGTCATGGTGCCTAATACAGCATATGATATGAATAAGGCTTCAGCTTCCCTGCTTCAGCGGTTTATGAAAAAATGTCTACACATTTCAGATGTACCTTTTCCCAGTTATGTAACTGTCCTAATCTGCATAGTACTGATGTTACAGGTCTTTCAGAACAGCAGTTACCCACGATATTGATTTTTCAGCATGCATTCAATAATCAATTCTGATTAACCCCCTCCCCCCCAAAAAAAAAACTAGCTGTCATAATCCTGCCTGTTACACTATCAGACTTCACAGCTGATAGAAATCCATACTCATGACCAACTGGTTCAGTTCTCAGAGGGGAGTTGTCTTCCCTTCAGTGCTACTCGCTTGAGCTGCTGAATGCTGAATGCACACAGCTGACTCACCATAGAGGGACAACTAAATGAATTGCACTGCCTATGTCTTTTGTTCCTTACTGTAGCAGAGATATGTTGACTCAGAAAGAACATTTTCAGGTTTTGCTGGTTTTGAACCACTGTGATTTTCTAGCTAAACTGTAGACAATCAGTCTACAATATTCATATGTTCCTTGTAACAACAGCAATGATGAAACACACCCACTTTTCATGGTAATGAGGTAATTGCGTCTGGCTGCAGTACTGTCTTAGCCCCACTCTCTTATTTTTCTGTTCTCTGATTATTTTTGATTATTTACTGACCGATTTTAGCTTAATGCATCTAAGTCCTCTCGTACATTTATATAACTAGTAAAAGAACATATACATTTCAATAAACAAGAGCTATACAAAACCTGCATTGAACCTTAGATGTTTACATGGTGTAATACCTTACTTAAATTTTGATTAATTGACACACTGCATCTGAATCAGTAGGTATTCCACATTAAGAAACAGTGGTTATGTCTAAATGACAATTACAAGAAACAAATACTGATAACATGGGAACATCAATATACAGGCATGAAGCGTTATTGTTTTAAATTAAAAAAAGCTGTGTAACCACTACCTGTGTTATGATTAACATAAGACCACCCTTTGTGCTGAGTTTAGGAATGGTTTCCAGATTGTGGGCGACCAGGTGACCAGGTGAAGGCTGGATTTTACCATAGCAGACCCAGGTGTGAGGAGACAGAGCAGAGCAATGACCCTCTACATGAGGCCCGAGGAGACACAGAATTAAAATGCTGCATAATGATGCAAAAGATGAGACACTGCTGGCACGTGTTGACACAGGAGATCACAAGAGCGTGGAGCCAGCTGCCCAGCCATGTTGTGGAAGCCGATAGCTTGGCTCCCTTCAAGAAACGACGGGATCGATTAGCTGCAAAGGAACAAGTACTGTCACAACCACCAGTCAGCGGAGATCATCTCACAAGAGAACCAACCAGTACCAGCAGCGGGTTAATAATAACAAGCGCCGCCGCACGTGTTCATCCATCAGCGCACTCTCTACCGTGCAGCAAGCAGCGCTATTTTAACCATCCTAACCCACTTCCTGCTGCTCGGTATTGAGTCTACTCCTTGAGAGCGCTACCTGGCGTTTATTCTGTACCTCGCACTCTTCTGGATTCAGGACTGCCCTTTAGCCTTTGGACTTTGGACCTCGCCTCTCGTCTTGGATTGTTGGCCACCAGTGTACTTCCCGGATTTCAACCCACCTTACTCCTTTTGACTGTGACCTCGCCTCTTGCTTCGGATTGTTTGCTTCAATCATACCTCCTGGATTCTGAATCACCTTTTTCCTTCGGACCACGAACTCGCCTTATGAATTTGAATTGTTCGCCTGCCTTGTCATCTACCAACTCTGGCGTCTGCACAGGATCTCTATACCCTTTCACTGAGGATTCCTGACAAGTAAAGGATTAATCCATGCAGAAAAAAGGAAGAAAGGAAGCCTTTTTGTGACAAAACAGCTCCACAGCCGAAACATTGTTTCCTTTTTTCTCTCTTCAGCACGGATTAAACCTTTACTTGTTCCTGCGCAGCCTGCGCATGCTGACGCAGCTCCCTGCTTGAACTACTAGATCAATTAGCTGCTAATTACCCAACAGGCTAGATGGACAGAATGGCTCCCTCATCCATAAAAACTCTCTTGTTCCTAATAATAACAATAATAATAATAATTATACACTTTTATCTGTAGGCACAATTTCCAAACTTGCAAGCGCTGCAGGACAACAACGCAGGCGATTCACAGAAGGCGAGGGCGAGGCAAGGCGAGGACGAGAGTCCTGGACGAGAGGGCCCGGGGGTCTCCTCTAACAAAACCTCACCTGGCAGATGAAGCCCGTTGCCGTGCACTGCCGCACCCACAGGCTGAACTTCCTCTTCCTCCTCTTCCGGAGCTCCCTCTCCGTGCAGGTGGTGATGAAGACGGGGTCCTCGTCGATCAGGGGCTCGTGCAGCACCTGGGAGGAAGAGCGACACGCTATCACAGCCCCTGCAGCGGACACGCCTTCGGGCTGCTCCCATCAACCAGCCAAACCCAGGAGAATGAAACACAACGCACAACAGACCACTTCCCATTCTCCGCAATGAAAATTCAATGGGAAGAATTATTCCCCAGCAAAGAAAACGTCACAAACGATTTTCGTCACTGGATGAAAGTCAAGGAAAGATGCCTTGTAGCAATCCAACAACTGGCCTGACCTGCAGAAAATACCTGGTACTGAGCTTCAGAAATATGTCAGACACTCTTATAATTAAACTCTGTAGTCTGTATTCTCAATTTGTTACCACAACTGGTGTTTTGGATGGGGAGTTAGCTTTTAGATTCTTGCATCACTGAGATTAAAGTGAAATACTGTACATATTTTTGATACAGCTCATAACTATACAGATACAGCAATAAACCATCAATCCTTACTCATAGTAATAAGTGTCAGAATACGAGCCAGAATTATTTCTGTAACTTGAAGGAAGTGTGCTAAATGACATGGTTAAAACACAGTAAAGTTAGTAAACTGTAGTGAAACTGTGATCAAAGAATGGACATACAGTAAAACATGACTAAAACCATAATACCATACTATTATAAAACCAGGCAAGAGCCATTAACTTCATTTATTAAACTATTGTTTTGCTAGGCTTCTGCTGAACGCTTGACTTAAATATAAAAGGCTGGAATATTTTTATCCTCCAGTCAGAAATGTCTGATTACTTGCAGGTGCTGCTAATAATAACTGTGGCTTTGAGTTTCTTAAAGGCACCAGCTTGGATTCGTTTTGTCTTTCTGAATTCTCTTTCTGTGTGACAGGCTGCGTCTCAGCTACCAGCCAGCAGCTCGGTGGGGTACTTCCACAGAGGCAGGGAAACACAATTCGGCTTGTGACCTTGCAGGAGACTTGAAGGGCTCTGCAATCATTCTAGAAGAACCGTGCTTTATGAGGGAGTGATTGCGAAACTTGAAAAACCCTTGTTGTATACAGATTCATTTTAGGAGGGAAAAACTATTCTTGTTTTAATAAAAACAGTTTGGCTTTATATCCACAATAGTAAATTATGCTGTGTGAATTTCAACAAATTCAACAAATAGTGCTTTGTTTTGATTTGCACCAAACTCTATTGATTTGTTTTGTAAAAAGAGATTTTGTTGACTCAAATGTCGCTGTTCATCACTTGCCAAACTTGTCAATCTAGGAAGAAGCAGACGTCATCCCTCAACAGTCAAACAAGCCTGATGCTGAGGTTAAATAATTTTGATAAATCTCAGTGCAGCGATCCAGACATCGCTGTTAGTTTTATCAATGCAGAAAGATCAATGCGACTCTTGTATTCCTAATTCCACCCTCTCAGATGCTCTCGATAACTGGTGCTCACATACCGAAAATTGCCAGTCCTTTTAAATTGAGGAAATCATTATTTACACAGTAAGCCTACCCACAAATCCTGAAGTGATAATACATAGGATTGAATAATTGTTGTGGCATTCAATTTTATAACAGTGTCTTGCACTGATTTGCACTGTTTTTTTAGAACTGAGATATAGCTCAGCTTTTCTTAGGAATGTGCTTGGAGTTACTGTCTCCATGGAACTGGATATGCTGTCCAATCATCTTCTTCCCAGATGAGTAAGCAAGACAAACGAACAAACGGTTGTGCTTCTGCTGAACTATTTTTCCATCTGTTTTTTTGTAGATAACCAGCACAAACATTTAGAAGCTGGTGGTTGTTTTAAAATAAATTTGCAAGTCACTGTATAATTTATATTTCAGCCTGGGCATGACTTTTGCAAATTTCAATTTATAGCATTAAAGATCCCCTTTAAATGCTTATTTGACAGCTAATGGATTCGGTCAATTTTCCCTCAGGCTTTAATTTGTGTCCATAGTGTAATGCATCATAAAAACTCCATCACTTTAAATAAACCTTAGTCCTGACTCGGAACCTCAACGCTCAAGTTTGCTCCTGTCGATTCAAGCAGGGCTTTGAGGACCACTGAGTCCCATATCCTAGGACAGCCGAAGCAGCCAACACTGATAAGCAAGTGTTGCTCAAAAGACGTCCGCGCTCGCAGACAAGAACGCATGGATATGAGGTCAAACGACACCGGGGCAGACTTACTGGGGGAAATTTTAATGAGGCAAGAGACGCTTATTTTCTTTCATTTGGAATTCTGGATTTCTTACAATAAATACAGTTCCCTTCTTATTTAAAGATTCTGTCGAAATTCCTCAGCAACCAAGCTGAGATGTTTATGGCTTTTGTTAATAGATTTAAAAAACAGGAAATCCTTCTTTCGGGTCACATTGGCAAACCACCTACTGTGCAGGTGCAGGCACACCCCTGACCCCCCGCAGCTGGAGCTTTGATCTTCCCCAGCTAATGAGCTGTCCTGTGGACGAGAACCATGTGCATCAAAGCCTGCGTGAGCTTGTTTAACACAAGCAGAGGGAGAAGTTGTGGGGGAGGATCAATGAACAAAAACAACATAGTGATGCATATGGGCAGAGATACGGAACCTTGATCATTTCCTTGCACAACATTCTGTTTTGCAGTATTTTACTCTTCCAGTTCTTTATTTCATGACAATTCTAACCCCCCTGTGACACACCGCTGATCATGCTCCTCAAAGGTGGGACAGGATGGGGTGTGTTGGGAGCTACTAGCCTCCACAGGGCAGCTGGTAGCAGAAACAAGGACAGTCATTTGATTACGGTGCAGAAGTTGTTCAGTCTGTCATCTAGTCTTGGATGGCTCACTGGTACATTCTCAGTGCTTGCCGCCTCTGATCTTTTCATCCAGGCTCTCCTGCTTGTTAGCCACCTGAATCTGACCCTCCTTTCGATTTCTTTATCTTTACCTGAAGGATGTGCCAATGCTTGTTGAGAAGCATTAAGAAACACACACAAATTGTGACGTTTCCATTGACAACACCAAACAAGTCCCTATCTGAAACACCCAGCCTTTTCACGAACATCAGGAAAAGAGAGAGGGGAAAACCTGCGTTTTCTCTTAGCATATTAAATTCACATCACTTGAGGGCACATGTACTGGAATGTATGCTGTTTTAATGAAACGGCTATGCTGGGAACAAATTGTGCTGGGTCACACTTCAGAAACGTTCCTTAGAGTGACAGAAACGTGGGATTGTAAGAAAGAGGGGAGAGTATCTCTTGGGAGAGGTGGGCGCTGGAATGGTCCCCTGACAGCAGAAGGATCAACTGGACAACGTACCTGGGTCTGAGATGGTCTAAACGCACATTCAAATGACTGCTTCAGGGAGTCCAGGAAGGGCTGGATCTTGTAGAGGCCCTGGCTGGCCTGGCTGGAGCGGAAGGCCACGATGTGGAAGTACTTGAGGATCTTCTCGAAGCGAGCCTGGGTCATGATCAGCGCGATGCTCTTGTTGCTGAAGAAGCCGCTGCTCCAGATGCTGAGCACGGACTCGCAGCGGTGGATGCTGGTGGAGGTGACGTATCCCAGGAAGGCTTTCATCTCCGAGAGCGTCACGTTACACCACCCTTCGTCGCTCCCGAATCGCTCCTGGTACTTCTTGGCGTACATGTTGGTTTGGGTGACCATGTTCTGTATGGCGTTATCGGGGACAAAGAGCTGGAAGAAGTCCATGGCGCTTGCCGTCACTGGCATCTTTTGCGTGGGGCCTGAAATGGAAAATAAAGTTAGACCCTTCTCTTGCGAAAGCAAAACCTACACTCATCTTTCATGAAGATGTCTCCCGTTACACAGACGTTGGATCTTTTCCACATTTTACAACCCGAAATGAGATAATGAGATTTCGGACTTGCAAAATAATTGCATTAAATGTGTAGTTTTCCCTGGTGGAATGAGTGTGCTGTGGTTAGCATTGCTGCCTCGCAGCGGAGCTGCTGCCATCGATAACGTTCTTGGGGTACTATCTACTGTACATGTAGTTTGTATGTTCTCTCTGTGTTCTTGTGAGTTTCTGCGAGGTGCTTCATTTCCTCCCACAGTCCAAGGACATATTGGTCAGTTAACTGTCTTCTGTAATAAACACTGACCCTGGTGTGACTGGCTGTATTTGTGGCCGTGTGTGCCCTGTGATGGACTGGTGTCCCATCCAGGATGTATTCTGCCTGGTGCCCAGTGCTTCCTGGGTTAGGCTCCAGGTCACTGTGATCTTGAATTGGATAAGCGGTTATCGAAAGTGATGTGATCTGTAGTTTCCTGCATCATCGGTACAATTTGTGCAAGACCTGGTAATCCTGAAACCTGAAACAGATCCAACTTTCTTTGCTGTGCAAAGGAAAGCTAAGGGTTACCTCACTGAGAACTTGGCATAGGCAAGGTTTACTATCATGAAAGGATGTAAAAGACAACAGTGTGGGACAACCAAGCCATTGTGATTGCTCAAAGCACTTTCTTAGTTTGATGTGCATTTACCATTAACTTTTTCATGTTTATTCATTTTATGACTGCTGATAATGCATGCAAATCCAAGGACACCTTATTTTTCCCCAAAATATTTTAAAATTATGTGCAAGCTGTGGTCTCTAGCTGCTGATTTGTGAGTGAATGCAGGGTGCCAGAGAGCACAGGTGACTGCAATTGTCTTCTAGCCTTCTGTCTGCTAAAAGCAAACACTTTCATTTGAGTTCAACAGGGCAGCTTTACTTTCCCATGATAGCACTCCTGTGAGTAGAGATGGAGAGCTGTTTAACGGGATTGCTCAATGTCTACATAATACTGAGACTGGGAGAGGCCTAAGCGGGTGAAAAGCTTCTTATTAGGTTTTCAAAAGAAGCTTTTTCCATATTTCAAATTCACTTTATCCTGGATAAGAAAAAGAGTGCAAGCTGTAGCATTATGTTATACTTTCACATTAACTTTCAGTGGATGATTATAGGTTAACAAAGCCACTGCTATGATGTACTTAGTAAGGCAAATGTATTTAGAAATTATTTAATTAGAGGTGATATTCCTTTCTAATATATCACCAAAGAGACATTCTTTATGATAAATACATAAGGCAAAGACATTACCCAAGTCAGATAAACAACCTATCAATCAAATCTTTGTTTGCTCTAGTCTTTAAAAACAGTTTGTCACACAGTGCTTTACAGAATTATACAGTAGTTGAAAGTATTGTGCAAGTAATGACATTACTGTTGGATTAAGGAGTTTGTGATTAAAGAAGACATAATGATCCATCATCCTCTGTAAATGAACTAACATTGATCTGTAAATAGAACTAAGCACGTAAAAAGAATAACTCATATCTCAAGTAGACTAATGTCAAGGGAATCATTTTTAAAAATGCAAAACTGCCGAACTATTCTCATCTTGATGTAACTCATCAGAGCTGTTTAATATAAAATGAAATCCTTTGTACCAGCCACACACATTTAATAATTAAATCTCGGCTTCACTGCAGTGCTCTCTCTTCAGAGACCCAGTCAGCTCTAGTATTTCGTAGTGACTTTCACACAATTCTCTGAACTCATTCTAGGTAAACAGTGCTCTTGGGAATTGGCCTGTTTCTGCATTACGTCCTCCATTGCTTAAATTGGGAGCTGACAATCGCTGACTTGCACTGATTTGCCTGCACTTGATTCCAGTTCACAGTACTCAACAGATGCCACACAGTGCCTGTCCTTCTCCACAGTTTGTGATGATCTCCTCGCTGTAGTGCCATTATAGATGGATTGCATTAGATATTTGCTCTTACAGGACACTTCATCTGTATCAGAGATCTCCAACCCTTGTTCTGGAGAGCACAAATCCGTATTGGTGCAGGAACTTACCGTAGGTCACCATTTATTCACTAATTTCTAAAGATATGGAACAATTCCATTCTCATCACTTAAATATATTGCATGATTTGTTCAAATATGTATTTATTTGTTAAATATTTTTTATTACAAGCGTTCCTGTATGCCATATTGAAAAAGGGGTTTTGGAACGATGGATCATTTTATGTAGATTAGAGTAACTATTTGCCAGGACGTGTTTGTTCATTCGGGAGTTTAAGATGTGTTTCCTGGTGTATTTGTTTGACATGTGGGCTAGACTAAGGTCACTGGAAATTCCCCAGAGCTGCAGAGAGCAAGCAGCTATTCAGTACAACAGCATCCACAACAGCATAAGGGCCAAAAAAATACTCTCCTTGCTTAACAGCAGATCTAAGAGACAGCTCCTGTAGGCAGCAGTATTGAGGAACAGTGTTCTTGTCTCCTATGCAAAAGGTTCAGCTCCCAGCTATGGCACTGTTGATGGATGATTAAACAAGGTGTAAAGGGTTACCAATGTATTTTTCGATTTGTTTGTCAACCAAAGTTTGACTAAAATAAACTTCCCACGTCAGATTCTGAATAACTAGATTCACCCACATCCACTTGTACAAATTCTTGAATTTGTATGAATGCCCCTCAATTAGACCCACACCACTTCATCCAAACAGCTTTCAAAATACTTGACACTAAGTAGTACTTTGATGAAAACACAACCCTAAAATGTCAAGGTATTGCTTATACTCCCGTAACTGTTTTTACCTACTGTATGTTATCTGTGACAGAATTAGTTTTACATATATATTTTTAGTATATATAAACTCAATAAAGGCCGTATAACAACTCATTATTTGACAAAGCTGCTTAAAATGAGTATATTTGAAAAGCCTCTTGAACTATAGAACCATAGCACAGTAATCATCTGAGCACTGTAATAATTTTGAATTGATTCTGTTCTCTGTTTTTGCTGGAGAATCCCTGTGACTGTAAAAGCAAGGTTGGCTAAGCAGTGACTCAGTGAAGTTCAGAGCATGTTGATCCTATTGAGCCGCCCAGATGTGCTGCTCAAGCCAAGAAACAGCTGGATGAGATCAAATACCTACTGCCTATGTAACTGGTTGGAGTTACATTCTTTCTATCTTGTCACACTCAGCTTGTGTCAAGCTTATCCTTGGTCCCAACCTGTCAGAAACCAGTTCACCAAGCTCCTGCGAGCTCTTGGAGTAAAACAAAGGAGGTTCAGTATTGACACTGGCTTCCTGGAATTATACACGAGACGACATGTGATGACAGGTGTTAACATGGTGGTTGGCCGATACAGCCAGGATCTGCCTTGCAGGCCTCAGCTCATTAGCTCGAATGACAGAGACCTTCTTCCCATCTGCGGGGCGGTGGGCTAGTCTGGGCTGCTGGCTGTCTTTGAAGTGATTAGCTGGGTAAAGAGTCATGATGCCTCAACCGAAGCAGAACTTTTACAGAAAGGCTCTTGAGGGACTACAATTAAAACACGGAGAGATGATTACGCACATCAGCTGTGTTTGTAAAAGCGCTGTTATCCCTCCAACACACAGCACTACTTACTCTAAATGAGAATCATGAGAAGCAAGAAATTAATATGCAAAGCGCCTGTTTTGTCTCTAATATTCTTAACAGCTGCTGCACATATAACGCAAGAAAGGATGGATTGCTGTGGCCAGAGGGGATAGTTTGCTCTTCTTGTAATTTTGGCTGCTAAAATTCACAGTTTCCAAAGAAATCATGTTAGTTGTAGTTCAGGCCAGGAATTAGCATTAATGAAAAGCTTCTTCCAAACAAAGCACTTCTCAGTTTTACTTTAACAACCACTGGCCACATTATACAAGTTTGACAAGACTGAAAGCATCCAGCCACTCAGAAATTTGTAATCCCGGCCAAAATTCTCACCCAGTGAAAGAAGACAAAAAGATACAGTTCAGAATCACTAAAGGTTCCTGTCACGATTGTAGTCCATCCCCCTTAAGGGCGCTCCGGGTCTTTCACTTTTGAGTTGATTTTGTGCACCTGCTCCCGGTTCCTGCCTTCCTATAAAAGCCAGACTCCCACTCTGTTCAGCTCTGCATTGGTTCCTGTACCAAGCGAGTCCGGGATCTGAGTGTCTGGTCCCTTTCCCCCTTTTTCCCCCCGACCCTCCATCGGATCCCGCTCCGGTTTTTAATCCTGTTTGTCCTCGTCTCGGATGGACCGCCTGGCTTTGGACTTTTGCCTTCCTCTTGGATTTCCCTTTGGACTCTGTTTTGGATTATTTGACCTGGAATCACCCCCTGAACACCTGTGCACTATGGACACGCCCCCTGTTTTCATTCCCGACCCCTGCATGCTTTTTCCCCCGTGTTTTCCTCACTCATCCCCAGAATGTGTCGTCTGCATAGGGTCCCGAAAGAATGCATCATTACAGTTCCTTTCTCCAATTCCCCTTCAAGCCCTCACAAGCTACTGTATACTTTTGTACGTACAATTCTAAGCGAGACAACAATACATTTTACATCTGAACTCTGACAAGACTGTTATGTGGATCGGCTCTCCTTATCAACTCCAAAAAACGTTTGGGCTACTGATGAAATCAGTCCAATGTCCTCAAATGAGGACTCCTGAGGTCATTTCTGACCCAAACCTCACACCGGAAGCTCATATCTTTTCATCTTTGGGACATTGCACATATCTGTACACTGCTCTCCCAGTCTGATGCAGAAAAGCAAATGCCTGCTTTTGACTCTTACAGACGTCCAGACTGTTTTAATTACAGTGCTTGCTAGTGTATCCAAGCATGTTTTTAACAAGTTGCACATTTAGAACTCAGCAGGACTTTGTTTTTTAACCAAATCCAAAATGCCTGAACACATATCCCCTGTTTTAGC